TTACTATTTTCCTATATCATTCCCTAGTCCATGTAAGTGTCAACATTGTCTGTCTTTGGATTGTATTGAGTTAGAATGTTTGATTTTAAAAAATGCTGCTTGAGTTGATAACTCGAGTTTTATGTGTATATAGCAAAAAATCAAGTCACTGGGCATTGGTGGCACATGCCTTTAATCCCAGCACTCAGGAGGCAGGGGCAGGCAGATCTCTGTGAGTTGAGGCCAGCATGGTCTTCAAAGAGAGTTCCAGGACAGTCTCCAAAATCTACGGAGAAACCCTGTCTTGAAAAACCTGAAAAAATTCACTAAAAGAGTTTTCAACAGTCTCATGGTACTAAACATTACATCCTTGTTGGCTTTCCTATCAACCTGACACAAGCCAGGATCATCTGGGAAAGGAACCTCAACTGAGAAGACGCGCGCCCCCCCGCGGGAACCAGCCACTGGGAGCAGTGCCACTCTGGACTGATGGTCCTGTGTTAGTAAGAAAGTGGCTGCCTTAGGGTTTCTATTGCTGTGAAGAGACACCATGATCAAGGCAGCTCTTATAAAGGAAAACATTTATTTGTGACTGGCCTAGAGTTTCAGAGGGTTAACCCATTATTGTGGCAGCATGCAGGCAGACATGGTGCTGGAGAAGGAACTGAGAGTGCTAAATCTTGATCTGGAGGCAGCAGAAACAACTCTGTCACTAGGCATGGCCTGAGTATATATGAGACTCCAAAGCCCACCTACATAGTGACATACTTCCTTAACAAGGCCACTTTTCCCAGTAGTGTCATTTCCTATGGCTAACCTTTCAAAAATATGAGTTTATGGGGGCCATACCTATTCAAACGACCACAGTGGCTGAGCAGGCCACAGGAAGCAGCATTTGCCCATGTTCTCTGCTTCAGCTTCTGTGTCCAGGGTACTGCCTTGCATTCCTTCCCAGGATTCCCTTCATGATGGACTGTGATTGGCACCTGTAAACCGAATAAATCTTTTCCTTGCCGGGTGATGGTGGCAGCGGTGCGGTGGCACTCGAGAGGCAGAGGCAGGCCGGTCTCTGTGAGTTCCAGACCAGCTTGGTCTACAAGAGCTAGTTCCAGGACAGCCTCCAAAGCCACAGAGAAACCCTGTCTCAAAAAACCAAAAACAACAACAAAACCAAAACAAACAAACAAACAAAAATACCCAACAACAGCAAGAAACACATACAAAACAAAAAACCCTTTCCTCCCCAAGTTGCTTTTGGTCATGGTTTTTATCACAGCAACAGAAAGCTAAGTAGAACAGAATATTTCTGCCATATTATGCTACATATTTATGCAGAAAGGAGCTCATGCCACTGATGATTATAAAATCAAACTATCCATCAGCCTAAAAATGCTGAAGAGGCTCTGTTTTGTAGTATCAAATCTTCAGATTTAAGCCTTTGCACACCTCTAATCCCAGCATGTGGGAGGCAGATCTCTTGTGAGCTTTTGGCCAGCTTGGTCTATAGAACAAGTTCCAAGACAGCCAGAGCTACACAGAAAAACCCTGTCTCAAAAAACAACAACAACAGCAAAAGACCTACCTAATTAGTAGTATACAAACTATGTTTGTGGATTTTTTGTCATTGTTTTGTTTTGTTTTTTTGAGACAGGGTCTTTCTAAAGGGCCCTGGCTGTCCTGGAACTATGTAGACCAGGACTAGAATTCAGAGATTTATCTTACTCTGCCTCTCAAGTGCTGGGATTAAAGGCGTGGCCCAACAAGTCTGTCTTAGAAACTAGTTTTTGTTCTTAACTATATATATGTATATATATATATACACACATATATATCAAAAACTTATTTTATAATAAATTTTTGAATGGCTTATTATCAGTAAATGCTGACGTGTATACCTATTTTTATTTTAGTTTTTCATTATTGGAGGTTGAATCTCAGACCTCACACATGTTAGAAAATGATTTACCATTGAGGCTCTTATTACTTTGTCATCTTGAGATAAAGTCCGTGCTGGCCTTGAACTAGATTTGTAACCTGGACAGGCCTTGGGTTTTCAATTCTCCTGACTTCCACATAGCTGAAATTACAGGTTTCACCATCAGGTCATATAAAAATCTCATGGTCATATAAAAATCCCACGGTCATATAAAAATCCCTCTAGTGGTGGGCAGTGGTGGCATACTCCTTTAATCCCAGCACTTGGGAGCTCTGTGAGTTCAAGCCCAGCCTGGTCTACAGAGTGAGTTCCAGGGCAGCAAGGGCAACATCAAAAACAAAAACAAAAACAGCAACAACAACAACAAAAAATCCCTCTAGTGAAAAGGGGTTATGAGTGGAAAAAGTTTAAGACGTCCTGTTCTAGAGCTATAGGTTCTAGAACAAAGGCTTGAAAGAGCCAAAGGCTATATTGGGTAGCTTTGTAAAACACTAAATGTATAAGGAGTTCTTACAGTGCTCTGTTATTTGAATAGTTTCATGGTCTTTGTCCAAAGAGAGTTTATGGTTTGGAGTTGTCCTGGAAGCTGCACATTCGAGTCCTAGAAGACCACAAAGGAAAGGGTACAATCTGGGTGACAGTCAAAGGACATATGGAAGGCTATATGGAGGGTGTTTGGGCTGGATCTTATGGCCTCTGATCTCACCCCCTTTTCTGTCTCTCTCAATATTTTCTGTATCCTTTTTAATTTCAGGAACCTTGTTTTCCCTCCTGCATTCTTGTCTGCTAAATTGGTGAATGACCTTTTTTCCCTTCCTTCCTTTTTTTTTTCTTTTTTTTAAAACAGAATTGCACTTTGTAGCTCAGACTGGCCCGGAATTTGCTATTTAGACCAGCCCTGCCTCAAACTCACAGAGTTCACGCTGTCTCAGCCTCATAAATGCTAAGATTAAAGACATGTGCCACCACACCTGAAGAGACTTTTTTTTTTTTTTTTGAGATAGGGTTTCTCTGTGTAGCTTTGGAGCTTATCCTGGCACTCACTCTGTAGACCAGGCTGGCCTTGAACTCACAGAAATCTGCCTATCTCTGCCTCCCAAGTGGTGGGATTAAAGGCATGCGCTACCAATACCCGGTCTGAAAAGACTCTTATCTTTCTCTTTGTTTTGATATAATCTCAGGCTGTACCTTCGCTGACTTGGAATTTACAACTATGGGGCCCAGGCTGTTCCTGAATTCAAGAACCTCATGCCTCAGCCTATGTGCTGAACTACCACCTATGTGTCTGAACTACCACCCCTGGTTTTGTTTACTTCATTCTTTTTAAGAAAAAAAAATTACTTAAACGTGTGTGTGTGTGTGTGTGTGTGTGTGTATGTGTGTGTGTGTGTGCTTGTAGAGGTCAAAGGGCAGCTTGTGAGAGTTTGAGGTCAGCCTGGTGAGTGAGATCCAGGACAACTCACAGAGATCCGCCTGCCTCTGCCTCCAAGTGTTGGGATTAGAGGCGTGCGCCACCAATGCCCTCTGGTCACAGTATTTTGAATCCCCAAAGAAGACACCATCTAAAGGTCTCTTATTTGTCTTACTTAATTTTTATATTTATTTGTATATATTTATTTGTTCATTGTCCATCCCTCCCTATGCCCCCTCTCTAAATAGAAAATCGCCTTGAGAATACAGGTTTTGTATGTCTTACCATTTAAATGTCAGCAACAGACAGTGCCTAATACTGGATTATAAACACATGTTGACTACTGGTCAACCTAGGCTAATGCTTATGCAACAGTGGAAGGAAGAAGCCCCGTTTTCAACCCCCCGAATTGGGGGATCGGCAATCGCGCCTCCACTTTCCTGATTTTGGGATGCACGATATCTGCCTCTGCTTCTGTTTGTTCCCTCATTTGTCACAAACATTTTATTGCATAGCTGCTTTATTCCTGACACCATTCTGGGTATAACTCATGCAGCATGAACAATGTGGAAATAATGCCTATCTTCAACGAGTTTAAATTCCCGGGAGAGAAATGGCAAGGAGACAACAATTATAAAGCCCTGTGATCAGTTCTGAAGGTTCCCAGTAGAACCACCTAACCCATTATGTGAATGAGATTAAAGAAGGCATTCCCCGATACGGGGATTACAGGCATTTCCAGCTCAGGCAGGAACCATTATGTTAAGATCTTAGAGGTGGCAGGGTCCAGGACTGATACCAACTGTCTTAAATGAAAAAAGCAGGTGGCAGACAGAGGGGCTTGGTAACTGAAGATGGCTCATAAAACGGATCTGATTGACTGAAAGGGTGTCAAAATCACCAGTGGCTTGGTTAGGACCGAAGCTTCTCATTTAATGACGTGGTATAATGACTTCCCAGAGAAGCATAGCTAAGATGGAGACACTCACCCATCGCTTTAGCTGTAAATTCTCCTCGGTTGCCTGGAGAGACTGGGGAAGCCCCCCTACAGCTGTGGCCAGAATCCTTTTAATCCTGACCTTTCCTCTGAGGGGACGTGGACAAGCCAGTAGCTTCTTCCCTAGAGAGGCCCTTCAGAAACCCAAGCATTTCTTCTTAGCTGAATTCGTCTCCCTCCTTTCCAGTTCTCCTTCAGGCCCGTATCAGAAAACAGATAATAATTACTTGTTGACGAATGAATCACAGAAGGTGTTGCCTAAAGAGAACATCTCCTAAGCCCATACTCACTGTGACTACACTGAAGGTGGGGGAAAGAAGTAGAGAATCTGTGTTATTCTGAGCCTGACGAAGTTTTCGGTTTATTTTGTTATTTTTTATCATTTATTTATTTTTAAGAAAATCCCTTTCACTGTTCAGAAGTGACCCTCCCCTTCTCTTCTGAATACGTGTCTCCTCCAAACTACAAGTCCCACAAGGCCCAGCGCCAACGGCCACCATCTTGACACACCTTAGCGCGCATGTCGGCGGGAGAGAGAGCGTTTGAGGAGAAGAAGCCCCGCCTCATCGTAGTTCATTGGCCAAAGGCACCAGTAGCGGGCTCAGCGGTTGGCTACCGAGCCCGCCCGTCCACCGCGTCGACCGGGGTCAGAGTGCGCGGAGGTGAGTCGGTGTGTTGTGGACTCGTGGTGCTGGCTGCCGCTGTTGAGGCGGCCTGGAACGGGCTGTGGGGAGCGGGCGGAGCTGGCCCTGCTTCTGCCTGGTCAGCGCCGCAGGCGGCGCGGGCCGTGCCCGCTGCCGTCAACTGCCCCAAGCGCCTGCTGAGGCCGAGGGAGACGTCGGGGCCTGCACCTGGAGAGAGCCTGCCGCGCTGGCCCGGAGGAGGGGGCGTTGCCATGGCGACAGCCTCTCCGGCAGCTGACGGGGGGCGGGGGCGGCCCTGGGAAGGAGGGCTGGTCTCCTGGCCCCCTGCCCCTCCCCTTACACTCCCTTGGACCTGGATGGGCCCGAACTGGGGGCAACACCCTGGGGTGGGTGAGATTGAGAGGGCCCCCCGCTTGGGCCCTGGTTAATGCATGCGGGGTGTGGGTCGTGGCGCGCACACTTTATGTAGTCTGGGATACTGGCCGGTGTGCTCACCCTGGATGCATGTTCTAACTGTTGACGAAGGGGGAGCTGGGGCTGGGGTGGGGGTGGAGTTGGGTTTCGCAAGATGGTTTGGATGAGTTGATGAAAGGGCCTGGAGAAGAGAGATTTGACCAGAGAACATAGAAACAGATTAAGGAATTAGTAGATTTATAGAGTACCCCCTCTGCATCCCGGCACACACGTTAGCACTTTATTTCCTTTCAAGTCACAAACCGTGGGTAACGATGGTGGACAGAATGAAGAAAGGGCCTTAACCTGGGTGGCGTTTTGTTTGCCTTTATTGCAAATGGCCGAGCAACAGGTGTTTTCTTAAAGCATGGCTTGGGTTGAGTTCTTGTAAAATGTCTACTGCTGAATGTTGATCCGGAAGATGCTAGGTATGGGGCCTCTTATCTGGAAATAGGGATTTTGCAACGACTGGGGCCATTTTTATGGCATGCATTTGCTAGTGCATTTCATCGGTTTCCTGGTGTAACGGCAGCAAAACATGAATTCCATTGGCTAAAGACTATACTCTATTTGACTAAAGTATGTTGTGATTGGCTGAATGGTTTTTGACTGTAGAGTTTGTACCAGAAACTGGCTTCATCAAATTCAGCTTTATTCTGACTTTATCATACACAGTAGACCTTGTTTTAGTGGGCTCGTTCTTGGACCTTAAGTATATTATACTTGAATCCCCTACCATTTAAAAGCCAATTTATAAACAGTGACTTGGAGTGTGACTCCACTAATGTGTGCCTGTGATCTTGGTTAGAAACCCACTTGGCTGACTGTCGGCAGGTGCTGAATGGGGGAAGGGAGCTGCCGGGAAGTGATTGATAAGGTTTCCTTTATGGATTCCGTGGTGCTTCACTGGAGCTCAGAGCACTTTGGCAACTTAAGCACTCCAAATTAAAAGCTCATTAACAATTCCTGCCCGAAGATCCTGTAAATAATCAGCTAGCTAGGTCATAGAGCTTAGGTAAGAGCTCCTCTCCCTCAGACTTGAAATTTCCAAATAGAAGTGCTTTTATTCCCTTTCATTTTGGAAAGTTTGCTCTGTGGTGGGCTAAGTTGGGGAGTGGCCTGTTCCGGGGGGGGGGAGGAGGGGGAGCAGGATAGAATGAAGTCTTAAGTGTGTGGGATGGCAGACAGGAACATATTGGTTCCAATTGTAGATGCTTGTGCACAGGACCCCACTAGCTTAACAGATCATGTCCGTGGCTTCTGGTCCTTTAGAATATCTGAAGGGGGTGGTAAATATTCCTTGACACTTTAAAAAATTTGCAATGTTTTAGATGGTCTTGGTGTGTAGCCCTCACCTGCCTCTCCTGCCTGTGCCACCCATGCTTGGCTCCTTTGGTATGTTGATTTGGTTTAGGCTATCTTGATTTTCTTAGAATTTGAGGTGGACTTGAAAGTATTTTGAAAGTGTTTCCTGATCTGTGTTTCCATTCCAGTTACCAGTTTGTGGCAATGAACCTTTCTCCTCAGGCCTGGCTCAGCCCCAGTTCCTGAGTTCTGAATATTGCTAGCCTTCTGTCCCCTTGTCTGATAGGATTCTGAAATTGTCCAGTGAGCACCACTTCATGACCATCTTTCTTAGTTGAGGCTCAGATATTATGAATACGTGGTATTTCTAGAAGATAACGTAGGGAGAACAGTATATCAGAGAACATGAAATCCATAACTCATATATATATATAATCAGTCAATAGCATCTGAAGGGTCAGTAGGGCCATTGTCTTTCCACAGAGATAGCAATATCCCAAAGTTCGGATTTATAAGTTTGAGTTAAAAATGACCCTTAGTGAGGATTTATACCTTTGAACTGAAATATACCTGTTGCAGAGATGTGTGTTTGTCCACAGCATTGGGGCTTTCCAGCTCTCACAGACCCTTCAGCATCTCCAGCCACCAGTCTTGGCATCTTCGAAGTAAGGAGAGGTGAGAATCCCGTTGCATGATCTTGTTTAGTGTCTGACTGTTTGGGTTTGGTGGGTATGGGATGGGGGCTGGTGCAGATTGCATTTTTCTATAGCTTCTGATAAGATAGCATGTGCTCATACTTACCAAAATTGAAATTGACCAATATCTTTAGAGTAAGAGTTGGAGGTGAGTGATCTAGACTCTGCAGTTCTGTCATAATTTGCTTTTTTTTTTTTTGTCTCCTCAGTACTGGGGAATGAACCCAACATACTAGGCAAGCATGCCACCACTGAACAATACTTCTACTCCGTCCGTCCATCTGTCCTTCCTTTCTTCTTTTTTAAAACTTATATTTGATCTTAACTAAATTGACCAGATGGGTCTCAGACTTGTAATCCTCCTGTTTCAGACTCTAGTAGCTGGACTTACAATGATGGACTACCAGGGTTAGCCATGATTTCTTTAATAGATACCTCATGAGTACCTCGGTTTTAGGGTAATTGAATAGAGCTAAAATAGCTCTATATTTTGAGAAATACTTAATTCAACAGTTAGACCACCTTGCATGGCTCTTGTGATGGATTTGGATGTGAGTTGTGTGTCACCTTTGAATGGCTTAATCCCTACCTACTTCTACCTGGACTGACTAAAAAAAGATGGACTTTTGATGATTGCTACCCAGGGATTTGGGAGTCATTTGTTCAATAACTAAGACCCAGACATTTTGCTCGTTGGCTGGGATTATAGCAGCAAACAAGACTGCCCATGATAGCCAAAAGCTTCAGATCCATAGGAGAGACCAGTAGTAACTCAGCAATTATAATATACCCAATAACTAAAGTAAGGGACCTAAGTTCTCTGGGACTACAGGAGTGACCTTAATCTGGATTTGTACTCTGGGTTGACTTCTGAGAAGAATCAACCTCCTTACCTAGAATCAATAAATAAGGACCAAGTATCAGAGCTTTGTTGAGTTTGAGGAAGTTCAGTGTAATTAAAAGGCAGGTGGGAAATGAAGCAGGAAAGGTGATCAGAGGCTAGGGCCTTAGAAACTCTGGTTAAAAAACAAAAACAAAACAAAAAACTGGTTAGATGGAGGCATGTTGAGGGGGCAGTTAAAAAGACTAAAGGTTACCAAGCTTTTCTAGAAAGGACAAGAGTAGATACTTAGTCTTTGTGACTCTTTTACAACTGTACACCTTGTAGTGTGCATTTCAGCTGCTGTGGATGGTGTGAAAGTGAACGTGACTGTTCTAGTGAAAATTTATTTCTAAATGTGGGTGGCAGCTGGATTTGGCCCATGGGCCATAGTTTGCTGATTTGTAGATCAGAACAGTAAGGAGTCGCTGGAAGGTTGTAAGCAGCTCAGGGTGGTGGTATACTCTTATAATTGGGAGGCTAAGGCAAGAGGATTACTAATTCAAGACCAGCCTGTGCAAAACAAGGAAAAAATGGAAGATTATGATTAGGAGGTTTGTGTTGTAGAAAGTTTTTTTGGTGTCAGTGTGAAGAATGGATTGAAGGGAAAGATAAAACTGGAGGTGTAGAGAACAGTAAAGAGTCTAGGGGGAGCAGTTTAATATTCCCCTTATGTGGCAGTCTTGTGGTCCTTAAGGATCACACTAAGTATAACTGAGTTCATGTGTGTGTGTGTGTGTGTGTGTGTTAGTATTCTCTTTACTAATTTCCTGCCTGTCTAATGGCACTTAAAATGTGTCTACCAAAGAATTTCTTGGAAATGTCAGCCAGCTACTGTTTCACACATTGGGAATGATAAAGAGTCAACATACAATGAATCAAAATGTTTTGGAAACTATCTTTTGTTGAAGGAAGTATAACCTGAATGGGGCCCTTGAAAGTATCTTCATTTTAGTATTCCTAGCTTAGTAGCTAGGACCTGTTTCAGCTATATGCACAGACGCTGACCTGTGTTCCTAAGCATTCTAGGCAGCCAGTCGTCCTCATTCTCATCCTGTATGTCCTATTTGGTCTTGGTCTCTTCTTTCCTTGCCTGTAGCAGGCTGATAACCTGTGCCTGACTGTGGAAATGTCTGCCAGATCAGGTGTGGTGGTGTGTTTCAGGCAGGGGCTAATACATTTGTTGGTTGAGTGTAGAAAGTTTAGAGTCAGAATTCCACTCTGCTCTTTCTCCCTCTCTTCCTCTTCTGTGAGCCCCAGTGTACTTGAAGTGATGGAGGGAAGCACACAGATTTTTGATAGTGGTGTTTCTGTGACCTTGGACAAGTCCCTTACCTCTCTGAGTTTCACTTTGCTGTCTAAAATGGAGATAGTAGGATTTAATAGCATTGTTTAAAGCTTTAATGATGTAGAGGAAACTCTTAGTAGTATATTGATCCTGTTTTGTTTTGTTTTTTTTTTTTTTGCTTATTTTAATATTTACATAGGCTCTCACTGTTGCTGGCCTGGAACCCTCTATGTAGACCAGGCTGTCCTCTATCTCATTGAGATCTGTCTGCCTTTGCCTCTCAAGTGCCAGTATTAAAGGCAGGAGCTACTACTAATAATCTGCACAAAACAGGAAGTAGTTGGGTGATACGAGTTTTGGCGTTTTAAGCTTTGAGTCCACACAGTTTTCATTGTGTTCATATGGTAAAATCTTAGCTGGCCTACAGAGGCAATTATAACTAAAGGCATGATTTCCCACTGTGGAAAATTTGTACATAGTAGAAGTTCTATAGTCCACACACCATCAGTAAAGTGAATGCATTAAGCAGCTTCCCAAGACTCAGCCATGTTACTAGCCTTCCTCCGTTTGGGATCATTTCATAGTGTTGCCACGTTACTGGCCCTGCATCTCTGTAAAGTGCCTCTTGAATGTTTTTGTTACTTTTCCCTCCCACTCAGGAAAATGAGTCATGTGCTCAGTTTTGTTTTTCTTGCTACCATGTGAGGAATCCTGGGCCAAGGAAGATTGAATTGAATTGCCCAAGATCACAGTGTAAGGTACTGTTAAAGCTAGTGCAGATTCGCCTCCAGAAGAAATTGTGCAGGTTGATTGTTGTGATTTCTCTTTCCTTGAGTGAGAAATGCATAGTCATTGTAGAGTGTGATGATGCCTCATCCATTCTGCTGGACATTGTTTGAATCCTGCTTTATTTATTTGATTCTGTTGGGTTTTAATTGATGATTTTGAGGGGCAGACTTGTTGGGAAGCAGATTCCCTTTGGGTTGTTGTTTTTAGCTTCTTCCTCCTTTGGGGGACATTCTTTGGGGAACCTTGGGTTAGGAGGGATTGCTTTGATATGTTCAAAATTGTGCCTTGTGCCCCACAGCTACAGGTAAAATCAAAAGGCAGATAATTTATGGGAGTGTCAAAGCTGGCCGCTGGCACCTCACAAGGCCATTAGTATGCCTGTTCAGACCCTCTGTGTCCTTGCGATTGATTCCTTTTTGCATGAGTCTGATTTGGGAAGCTGTAGATCTGTGTGCAGTGATTGGATGTGACAGTCCAAACACCGGACCCTAAATTAATCCTTTTAATAGTATTCCTGCACCAAGGCAATATTCTCTCTCTCTGTCTCTGTCTCTCTCTGTTCTCTCTGTCTCTCTCTGTTCTCTCTGTCTCTGTCTCTTTCTCTCTCCTCTCTGAGGAAAAATGTGAGAATGGCAGAAAGGGATGGAAGGAAGCTAGCTAACTAGCTTTGTATGGTGTGCTCTGTCTAGCATGATCTATTTCTAGAGTAGTTGGCATCATGGCTTTGGGCATATTAATTCATTTAGCAATCCTTTACTTTCTTAATTGTGCCTGATTATACGCTGGGAGTAAAGAAATGAATAAAATGTAGTTGCTGCTTTTAAGAGACCAGCTCTGTTTCCAGATTTCTAAAACTCATGTGCCATTTAGATTAAAACTCAGTGCTTCTCTTTCAAGCTGTGTGAAAATTTGAAATGCATGAAAGGGCCTAACAAGAAAGTAAAGAATTACAAAATATGCTTTTTATGCACACACGATGCCTCTTTTTACATGCACATGTATGCAGAGCTCTGTTGCGTCCCTCTATCCTTCCTCATGGAGTCTTTGAAAATTGTTAGTAGTAGAAGAGACAGGTGCTTAGTGTGTCATATAGTGAGAAGATAAAAGTCATGACATTAGAATAAATTGTGCTACTGTGTCACATGGAAGCCATTCATTTTATAATGGGGTATCAGAGAAATCTACAAAAAGGGTGGGATTTAGCTGGGTTTCAAAGAAAGTGTTAATTTGCTGGTGAAAAATAGCAGTGCCTTCCAAAACAGAGGGAGCAGCATTTGCCAAGGCCCAGATTTGTAGAAGGAAATGCCACATTTGGGGACTTGAGCAAGAGCTGAGTGTGCCTCTAACTCATTAGAGTTTCTCACTCTGTAAGGTGGAAAGAGTCACACCTCTGGAGTTGTGTATGGAAAGAGGCTTGGAGGTCCTTGTAGTGCACTTCAGTCATTTTAATCCAATTCTCCTAACGGTTGCTGTTTTGTGCTCAAGCTAAAGAGTATTTGTATTGTTTTTGATACAGAGTTTCTCCATGTAGCTCTGACAGTCCTGGAACTTACTCTGTAGACCAGGCTGGCCTCAAACTCAGAGATCTGCTTGCCTCTGCCTCTTGAATGCTGGGATTAAAGAAATGTGCCACCCATTTGAAGGCATGAAGTTTATTTACATGTTTCTTGGGTTATTTTTAACTACCTAAGTCAAAACCTGGCACCAAATAGGTTCCAGACAGATTATCTTTGTTGTTTCTATGACTTGGGTATTTGAATAGAATTGCTAAGTCATCCTAGGACAAAGGTCTTACCCCAGGACTGGGAAGTTAAAGCTTGGTGGTCCAAGCTCTTGAGTCAGGTGGACTTAGTACCATAGAGTTTCTTTGGAATGTAGTTCCTGCTTCCCAACTGGTTTTTAATGGTGTGCGTTGGATCCAGGGATGATGTAGACCTGTGTGCTCCCAGAGATTTCAAGTGTGTGTGTGGCTGAGGAGGTGGAGTGTCAAGAGACCACCTGTTTCCTGATGGACTCCTCAGCT